GGGGGGGGGGGGGGGGGGGGGGGGTACTCCTTTAATGCTGTGCATGCCTCAGCGGTTGGACCATTGACCACGTGTCCTCGAGAGCAAAAGGGTGCGGGTGGGGGGCGTCGTTGACAAAAGTAAAAGCAAGAGCGCACGGAAGTGCGGGATGTCACAAAAGGAAAAGCACGAGCGCACAAAAGTACGGAAGGTCCAGAAAGTGAGTGGGTAACACGAGTCACCCGCAGCGTGGGCATCCATCCAAGTCGTCGCGGGTCTTACGACACAGGGGTCGCCGGCAAGAACCAGCTGGGGCACCGTGCTGAGAGTGTCGAGGGGGTAGCGTCATTGACACTGCTAGTTGGTTGATTTGAGTGGGGGTGACAGCAGTTTCGTAGGCCAACAACAAAACAAAAAATTCATCAAGCAGAGATCGATGAAAATTCCACAACCGGCAGCGGAATAACCGAACAAATCGAGCGCGATTTCTGGGTCGGACATAACAATGGTCTCGATCAACAACAGTTACAATTCTGCCTTTCTTGAACTCGTCCCGAGGGGACTTCTTCAAAATCAACCAATTCAACCAAATTGTGTGTTCGCGGTGACTTTGATCTATGCTTCCCGACGTTGTTCGGAATACTTTGTACTCCGTAGACATTTGTAGACAGAGACTTGCGCTAGAATTGCTAGTTAGAAGATATCTTCACTGAAAAGACAGAGATGGGAAAAAAAAGTTGTTCGAATCAGAATCGAATCAGGTTTCAGCAGTGTTCTACGTACCTCGAGGCAATTGAAACACAAAGATGAAAAAAAAAAACGTTCATTTTTGCCATCGAAGAAAGTATGATCGTTGAGTGCGGGACTGTAACAGCCGTGTATTCAGATAGTACAGGAACCGCGCCTTTTTCAATTCTCTATAGGCCCATTCGTTCCAGTTTGCGGTCCCCCCGTTGGTGGCAGAGTTTGCTTTGAAGATTTGAAATCAGGATCATAATATCAGAATCACAATCACATTCTACGTAAGCATACCTTAGAATCAGATTGTACATAAGCATACCTCGAGGCAGCAGATGTCGTTATTCTGGTAGCCGGGCAGTCCATTGCTGCAATTGCTGGGCACTGCCGTGAGAAGGACACACCAAGACAAGACAGACACACCAACAGACGAAAAAAAGAACAACAGACGGAACAGACGAACAAAGAATAGACGGAACCAGATCAACAACAGAACAATAGACGCAACAGACCGAGGCATCAGAGAGACAGCAGAGAGAAGGCGACGCGCATCAGAGGCATGGGTGAGGACAAACGAGCCCAGGCGCAGCACTAACAGCAGAGCACCAACGACCTTGTCATGCTTGTAATGGCAAAGTGCAAGCAGGCACGCGGCAACCGATAACCTCGCGCACGCGCGTGAATAGAAACAAATGCCGGCGGCGAGACAAGTCGGGGTGTTCGTCACAAGTGTCTGCGGCCGGGGGGGGGGGTATCCTATTCACCTTCCTGTTGTTTCCAATAGAACGTAATTTCATTGCCAACTTAATGACTGCCGGTCATGTCCTCAATCGCCCTACTAGAAAATTTCTCCAGAAAATATTCGGCGACTTCTATATAGTGCTGATGGTTACACGGTTGGCATGCACGCTCTTGACTACTTGAGCGAAGGCAATGACAAGTTGCAGCAGTATATTTAATTTGTTACGGTTGGCATGCACACCCACACGTTACAGCAGTGCTTGTTGTCCCTTTTGCACACACCGAGGAGTCGATGAATTTTACATTTTAACCTCGGCAGTGTTTTCTTTTTTCACTCACCGACGGGCGCAGCGGATCCGTAGTCGGGCACGACGGGCGCAGGGGTGTAGTTGTCGATCACGCACGGCGATACCCCTGTCGCGCTGCACAGATTTCCCGCCAGCTATTGTACACGGAGCAAAAAAAGCAAGACAAAATACAGAAAAAAACACTCAAGCGAACATTTTACATTGAATATATTAACCTCCTTGTGGGTAGTTTGCCTGTGACCACGACAGGCTTCAGAACCTAACCCAAGTAACATTTTTCAATACTACCAGTGTTGTTCACGCTTTTGGTGGGTTGTCGGGGATGTTGCCATTGCCACGGAAGTAGTCTTGGCATTGTTGTAGTCCTTTTCAATCTCAAGCCTGTCTTTAGCCTGTCCGTGTTGTGCTGAGATTGAGTCCGCAGGCGGGCTTGCTCGAAGGCTATTATTTTCTTGCCATCCCGGTCACGTTCATTTCCCCAGCGCGCCTCCGCATCGGCTTTGGTTCGGCAGCTTCCGCCGTGCCATTCTCCTTCCGACTGTCGCTGGAACTCGTCCTCCTGCAGCTTCATTTTTTTGTCTAGGCCAACCCCGTCCCTTCCGTCACGATCTACATTCCGCGCCATGTACTTGCACCGGTAGACGAGGGTGTGAAAAGGTACCGAGCAGAACTCGGAACGGTTCATATAACGCGTTTCAATGACAACAACAACAAAGAGGAGGCCATCGCATCCCCGTAGGCCGTATGGCTGCACACTGCACGGTGTCCTTGATGTCCCTGATACCGCCCCTTTCACCGCGGCTGCGCATCCATACGTGCTTATCCCGATTTTCTCATGTTCTCCCTTTTTTTTTCTGTTGTCGTCACGTCAAACCAGCGCTCACAGCACATGTGCCGCTCACGCCAACCCGTGGCTACACAGAAGGATTCCTCTCCTGAGGCCCCCCTACCCACCCCTCCTGCGGTACTTTGCCTTCGATTATTAATGCGAGAAGAGTGTAGCACTCCCTGCCCTCTCTTGTGTACACACGAACTATGTGTAGCGCTTTCCACCCAGGGCAGGAACGGAAGCGAGAGAAACTACGGCCACAAAATGCACCCCGAGCGGATACCCAATCCCCTCATTGTCTCCCAGGTTACACTTGCTACCGCCAAAAAATGTTGTAAGAGGAGGTTACCGTGCAAGTGGGCACTCGCAAGGACGGCCACCAGAGCACCAACAGCACATCAAAAATCCGTCGAGTTTTTCGTTAATGTTTCCAACAAACGACTCCAGAACACCGACAGCAACACGACAAGCCGCAACAGCACCAAATTACCGTAGGGGACACAGGATATACAACTACAGTGATAGCAAGCGTTTCATAAACAATACTCGGATCGATTTTCACAACTCCACTATTGCTATTACTATTACTATTGTACTTTACGACCAAGTGCTATTGTACTCTACGACCAAAAAGGACGTGTAGCGTACTGTACTGAAGTAGGTCAACGATAGCGCTTTTCGGAAAGCTCTCGGCTAGACAGTTCCCACGCCACTCCGGAGAAATCGAGCTTTGAAAATGAGTCCAGGAGGTGTGGTATCTGGCGTCATCTACGGCATGTCGCTTTATCTTGATTTTAGTAGGGGGCACGCGGCGGGGTTGGCGATAGGGATAGGGATGCGAACCCCCCCTCTCAATTTTTTCACAGAAAAAAAAAATCCTCGCCAACGCGGTCCCGACGACCATAGAGTTACAGTTAAGGGTTAGGGTTTTATAGCAACTAACGTACCTCTACGTCCGAAGAGCAGCATGCAGAAGCACCGGCCGTGCCGGGTACAGAACCGCAGCCCCCACCTCCGCACTGCCCGCAGTTTGCCGCGCAGCACTGTTGATTGGATTGAGTTTGATGGATCACGTGGTGGATCACGTGGCATAACCGTCGTACCACACCCACCCCCGGGGATTTAACACACACGGCATTTGATCGAGCAGGGAACAGGGAAGAGCAGCAGCGGGTTAGACAGTGGAAGAGGAGGCGGTGGTCTTGTTGTTGTTGTTGTTGTTGTCTAATCATTAAAACACGTTCCGACATGGAATAGGTTTTTACTATCAGCCACGCTAAACCCAAAATAAACTTTGATAAGGCCTGAACAGAGAGCCCTGGAGGGGGGGGGGGGATGGGTAGCGGTACCCCCTTGCATGCACTCCCGGAGCCGCCATAAGGTGTGCCAACTGCTGTTGGGCCTTCTCTCCTTGCGCCAAACATCACCCTCACCCGAAACAATCCTGTCTGCCCCTCCAAACTTAGCGGGCTAGGCTTACCTTAACCATATTACCTACAACCTATCTAAGAGTGCCCCCAAAAATCGTAAAACAACATGAGGGAGAACGCATCCCTCCTAAAATAAACAAAAGAAAAAAAGAAAAATCAAGAGAGACAGAGAGATATTCTGCATTGAATCTACAGCCTACATTACAAGTGCGAAAATAAAAAGCTAAAAACACATAAGAGAAATCCCTCCGAAAATCAGTATGGTAGAAAGCAATCAAGAGATTGGAATGAAAGATATGTGTCTCTTCTCATGCCTCTTACCGCAGGGCCATCCTGGTACCCCAGAATCCCGTTGCTGCACGTCGAAGTTCCTGGTTGGTTGAAACGGAATCAAACACGCCACCCAGGTGTTCCGTTCATCGGTTAGTCAGTTGGACCGGGTACGGATGCAAAAATGTACCGCTTGAGACGACATCGGGTTTTCTAATGTGCAGGCAACAATAACAAGTCAGTCGAGAGGTGCTTACCGTACGGAGCCGTGGTTCCGCCGCCGACAACGGCAGGTGCAGGGGTGTATCCCTCGATGATGCACGGGGCCTCACCGCAGACCTGGGTTTTATATTTCATTTTTTTCATTTCGAGAACGAGAGAGGAAGAAAAACAAAGGAATGCAAATGATTTGGCTGAGATCAGAGTATGAAATAAATACGGAAACAAAACGGCAGGTGCAGGGGTGTGTCCCTCGTCGATACACGGGGCTTCACAGCAGACCTAATTTTTTTAGAAAACACGCCGATGCCATAAGATGGTGGCAGGAGCCGTTCATCGTTCGTATTTGGGAGGGGTGTGTGGAGCGGTGGGTGGAGTCGGTGTTGAGGGCAGCGGTCGAGAGGGGGAGGTGGGGTCAAGATAGGTTGGTTGAGGTGGTGGTTGTGATGGGGAAAAAAGGTGCACATTCGCTGCAAATATACTGTGTATGCATCCTATGTTTCAGGCGCAGTACCCACACGTCATGGGTATCGAGCTCGTCATGCAACGTGCGTGTATGAACAAACACACGTAGTGCTTAGATGCCTACTAAATAGTTTGTTCACGACTACTGTTGACCGTGGAGAGGACAAGGCTCAGGTTTCCCCGCTGGAAACACCTCACACGTGTTGTACTATTGTATGATGCACAGTGTGCCTCGGAGTTTTCGTTTTTGCGAACAAGGACAGTAAGAAGAGCCCTACCCGCCGACAACACAATGGGTGATGATGTGACACGACGTTGACGTTCTCCGCCGAGAGCTCAACCAACAAGACTAGCGTTTCTTTTTCAAATGAACAGCCCGGCGCAGGCTGTCCGGCATGCAGGGGGGAATCGCCCGATTAGGGAGTACTTCGCTGGGTGTAACGCTCGAGGCGCGCGACCGCCCAGCCCCGCGACGGGCAGGTGGTGGTGGTGGAAAGACTTTCCTAGTGGACACCGTCAAGAGGAGGCATCCATCGAGCTCTTGCGCGGGCCAGGCGAAGCGTCGAAGCTAACAACGTCTAGTTTAGTCCCGCCGCTTTGCTCACAGCGCTCCGGTTCTGAGCTCTCAGCGCTCGAGAGCTGATGCATAATTGTCTGCACCTCCGCCAGCTTCGTACATGCACATGCGCGCGTACGTTTTTGCTCTGCAGAGAAAAGGCAGATCTACTATTTTCTCGGGGCCACCTGAGGTTGGTACATGTCTCGTCCGCTTGTTTTCTTGTGCAGTGCCCTTGTAAACGGACTACTGCTGTATCTTGCCTCTTGACTAGCGCAGTGCCACCACGCACTATCCAGCAGGAGGGCAACCCAGCTTTGCCTTGCCCGGTCAAGGGCTGCGAAGGACACTTGATAGCTAGTGGAGAAGCGCCAGTCACGTCGCCACTTCGCGCCGTGTGACCAGTACGTATACGGGGACTCCACCAGCTGCCAGGTGTTTCACTAGCTATCCAGAGGGTCCTTCGCAGCGCGTGGCCGGGTACACGTAAGACCAAGCTGGGTTGCCCTCCTGCTAGATAGACCTAGCCTTCGGAGCTGGGGCTGCAGCCGCGGACGATTTACGTTTCGCGGGACAACCCTCGATACATATTGTAGGGCGTGCATGTTTTCTGAAGAACGGCTAGTGTTGAGTGTTGAGAGGAGAGTGGTTGTGGTGGCTGCTGTGGCAAATACGGCTGCGCGTTCGACTTCCCTACCCCCAAAATACAAACGGGCGTCGAATATACCTGCTCAAAACCATCGACTATGGTTGAACAAATCTATCTCCTCGAAAAAAAGCCGTTCTTGGCAGCCAAAAATTAATGTTGTCGCGTCAGCGTGCACATCTCGGCTTCCGCCCCGAAAGTACGGCTTTCAGGAAACGACCACGTTGTTTTCAACAGTCGAATACGGCTCCCCCTGGTCGAACAAAAGGTACGGTACAAAAAACTGGTCCGAGGTGTGCGGTATCTTACGGCATGCATTTGTATGATCCCTCACCACTCCCGCTGCGAGGATGGTCGAAGGGCAGCAGTTGTCCGAGCCACCAGTCCCCGGGATGGTACCGCAACCGTCCCCGCCGCACCTGCCACAGATCTCTAAGCAGCAGATGGCTCCGTCCTGGTATCCAGCGATCCCGTTGGAGCACGTCGAAGGAGCTACAGGCGTGGGGGGGGGGGGGGGGGGGGGGCGTGCTCATGTGTTGCATGCGTTAGGTGTTGACCACGGACACGTCCTCGAGAGGACGGAGCATTGTTCCCGCAGGACGACGGCTGGCAGAACATTTTTGAACCAGCGTTCGCGAAGTAGGGAGGGACGATTCGCCACAGTGTTTTTCTCCTCCTATCTATCCTATCGAAATCAATTCCCACCTTTTAAGCTGTACGGGGTTGGGGGGTGGGCAGCGTACTCGTGTATTGCATGCTAAGGAGGAAGTGCTGAATTTACATTATTAAAAGCTGAGTCTGAACTTGGGCTTCCTGTCGACGAACACCGTGGGACTACCACACCACCACCACCTTTTGCAAAATCAACTCACCGACAGGAGCAGCCGTTCCGTCGAAGGCCGGGTTCAGCGGCGATGGGGTGAATCCCGCCATCACGCAGGGTGCTTCCCCGCAGAACACTCCGCCGGACTCCTCCTTGATCGTGTCCGGGCAGCAGTCGGAGGCCCCGTTAGTTCCCGCGATAGCGCCGCACCCCTCCCCCCCGCACTGCCCGCAGGCCTCCAAGCAGCAAACGTCGCCGTCGCTGACCCCGGGGATGCCGTTCGAGCACGTGGACGGTGCTGAAAAGAAGAAAAAAAAACACGCGCGGGGTAGATAGTAGATTGATGGGACCTGTACGCAGGCGATATTTTCAACACACACATCTGCACCCCCCCCGCCGGTGTAAGGGTATCACGCTGGCTCTTTTGTTAACACACACATCTGCGTCCGCAGAACCCTTTGATTGTAGGCGGGGGTGCAATCGGTTGCTTTAGGCGACACAGCGGTACTGGTGGTGGCCCCTGATTTAGCGACCCAAGGTACAAGACCGAACAGTTTAGGACGGCCTTATGGCGGGTACCCGCCGCTATCCGGACATGGGATGGACAAGTCCATTATTCAATATTCCATCTGTGTCACACGATTTTACCGGCCTTATTTTCTGCAGGGCGATTGGTCGTATGAAAAAAGGGGGCGATGTGCAGGGAAGGACCACTGCTGCACTAAACACGAAATAGGAGGCACGGCACAGCAGTTGACATCGCGAGCTGTCGTTTCGGTGCAGCGACTCAAATGTGCGTGGCAGAGGCAAGACTAGGTTCCTTCCAAATATACGAGCACTGCCGCACGTTCGTTGCTCGCATACACTCCACCCCTGAAAAAAAAAAAACTACAGTACGTACATACATACACAACGTGGCTGTTGCAATACCGTAATAATACGAAGTACGCAATGTGTTGAAAGAGATTGTCTTAATGGCACTACTGCTGCTGTACCGCTGTATGTACTGCTGTGCGCCACCTTACCGTACGGAGCAGGGGTTCCGGTAGGCGCGGGGGCGACCGGTGTCGGGGTCGTCGCTGCCATCAACAGCAACAACAGCACAGCAACAGCAGCAACAGAAGCAGGGGCAAGGGCAACATCAGAAGCAGCAGCAGCAGCAGCAACAACATCAACACCAGCATCTACCAACTGAAAGAGTGAGAAAGTGTTTGGCCAACTGAAAGAGTGAGAAAGTGTTTGGTAGAAAACATTACGACATGAAGAGAGGTGGACAAACGCTGCTTCGTGTTCTCAAACTACCGGAACACTGCCCTGACTCTTCATGCGTACAATATTGTAGTCACCCACACCATTGACCCCCCCCACACCGTGCACCCCCTGCCGCCGTCTGTACAACACTCGGTGCCTGCAACCCACCCGCGTTCCCCCCAAACAAGGTGTCGCGGTCACCTCTTTGACGTTGTCGAGCAGATTCTCTCTCTTCTCTCTAGGTGTCAAGTTCGCTTTTCACCATGGGCCAGTGCTTTCTAACGGAGGCAACACTCTCCCTCTCTCTCACCGTCTTCAGCCCTTCTTACCATGAGTCAATGCTTTGCAAGGCAGGCCGAACTTCCCCTCTCTCTCTCTCAGGATATTGCCTCCTCTTTGACATTAGTCTTTGACACTAGTCGTCAATTATTTTCAACGCAGGCCACTCTCTCTCTCTCTTTCTCTCTCAAGGTGTTTACCGTCCTCACCAGTTTCTTTTCGAACAGAGGCCAACATCTCCCCCCCTCTCCTGAGGTATTAGGCTCGTCTTTACCATGCCCCAAAACCTTCAAATGGAGGCCACTACCCCCCCTCAGTTCATCAGTACACCCAATAAACCTTAACCTTTGTCACTGCTCACCAACAGGGTCACTTGCGCCAGCGGTGGGGGAGGTTGACGTCTCAAGGGGGGTAGCCGTTCCGGTGGGGGCCGCAGACGGCCCCTCATCCACCACTGGGGTAGGCGTTTCAGTTCCTTCCTCCACCACCGGGGTAGGCGTTTCAGTTCCTTCCTCCGCCGGGGTTGGGGTCTCAGGCGTCCCCTCCTCCACCACCGGGGTAGGCGTTTCAGTTCCTTCCTCTACCACCGGGGTCGGGGTCTCAGGCGTCCCCTCCTCCCCTGCCACCGGGGCGGCCGTTTCGCTTCCTCCCTCCGCCACCGGGGTTGGGGTCTCTGGCGTCCCCTCGTCCCCTGCCACCGGCGCGGGCGTTTCGCTTCCTCCCTCCACCACCGGGGTTGGGGTCTCTGGCGTCCCCTCCTCCCCTGCCACCGGGGCAGGCGTTTCAGAAGCCCCGTCGGTAGGGGCGTCAGACGCCCCCTCTTCCTCCGGCACCGGGGTCGGTGTCTCTTCTACACTAGCCTCCTGGGGCACCGGTGCAGCCGTTTCAACCGTCTCGCCTCCTTCCCCTACAGCAGAGAACGTATTCGGGACAGGGGTGGGGTTAGGAAGGTTCAGTAAGTGTTCGTATTTAGGACGAGGCTGGGGTTAGGCTCAATAGTGGGAGGTTCAGTACGTGTGCCTACTCGGTACAGGGTTTGGGGATCAGGGTCGTTATACACAAGTAAGAAGAGCCTTTTTTTCAAAGTGGGGTAGGAGGTAGGAACCGGTGTGATTCGCCTGCCAAGGTAGTCAGTTAGTGTCTTGCCCGTTCGTACGGGTGCGCGACGGAGGTGGGCGGAAGGAAGAGCAACAGCAATAGAGCCAGCGCCAGCAGCACACCTTACAAAAAAAACGCAGTAGACATTGAGTTTTAGGAAAAATACTAAATACAAACACAGAAAGACTATTTGCAGCATTACCACAAACTACAAGATAGGTTGGTTAAATTTAGCGTTTGTAACATATTCACCACAGCCGACGGAAATGGTACCGAGGTCGGCGGATTACCGTAGGTTGCACAAGACATCACACCCCCCTGGAACGATTTTCAAAGCTTGACTACTCGGCTTGGAAAGCGGTGACGGCGCCGAAAATGTCGAAGTTGGAACCGTTCCTTTTCGAGAGCTTTCCGAACACGTATCGTTTGCCTTCGGCATCCTCTTAGTCGTGGAGTAATCGAGCTTTGAAAATCGGTCCAGGGGGTGTGGTATTTCATGTCATGTCACCTACGGTTTAGGCCCTCCCGCCCGGAATATTTACTACTCCCCATCGTTTGTCCCAACGTATGAAAAAGCGGACACAAACCACATCAGATCATACCTTCGGGAGAAGGAGTTTCTCCTCCATCTGTCTCCGCGACCGGAGTCGGGGTTTCAACGGGAGTCTCCTCATCATCTGCTCCCGGGGAAGGGGAAGGCGTCTCCTCCTGAAGGGACCGCGACAGCACGCCTCCTTTCCGAGAAGAACCGCCGAAAACACCAACGCCGTTTTCCCCGCCGATGGCAGTAGTAGCGCTTGCCGAGGCCGTGTGGTGTCGGGCTGCGTCAGTCAGAGGTACGACAGGAGGAGGGAAGACGGACGGCCGCGAGACAACGCCTTAGTGTTCAGCCAATCAGGTGAGAACGACCCACAGGAACAGGGGGGTACTAATGTTTTTTCTGGGGGGGGGGGGGGCGTACTCTTATGCTTTGCATGCCTTAGCGGTTAGACCATTGACCACGCGTCCTCGAGAGGACGGAGCATTGTTCCCACAGGACCGATCACCGATGGTCAATCGTTCCTTCCTACGTTGCCAAAGGTGGCTCAAAAATTTCTTTCCTAGTCTGTCTATCCTACCGATGTCACTTCCCGCTTTTTCAAACCACTTTCTACTCCCCAGTACCGCTACCGTCCTCTCTTCTCTATTCCATGCCTCAAACATCTCCCTGTACGTCCCTTGTATTCTTCCCAGCTCAGTCATGTACACTTCCCTCTCCTTTTCGTACCACGGACATTCCGCGACTACATGAACACTGTCTTCGCATTCGAAGCCGCAATCGCACTTGAACTTGTCGTCTTCGTCGTCTACCGTCCTATGTCTTCGTCGACGTTCGCGAAGGCCTATGTCCCCGGTCCTGGATATGACCTTAAGCTTTGTCCCTGCATCCATTGGTCCATGTAGGTAATCCTTGAACCCTATTCCTTCATTCAACATTCCGTACACTTCTAGACCCTCCTTATCCTTGGTTTCTTTCCTTAGATTCTGTTCTTCTCTCTCGGCACAAGCAACAGATATCTTCTTCTTGAACCCCTGTAGACCCTCCGTTTCCAGCGTTTCATCTTCGTCGATGTCCAATCCCTTCCATACGTCCTCTACAACCTTGACCCATTCCGTGGGTTGTCTACCCCTCTTTTTGTTTGCCCACTTCGCCTCCCATACTATTCTCGGCAACCTCTCCTCTCCCATCCCGCACATGCGGTACTGCCATGTCAGCTTCCTTACGTCTCTTCCCGACCGTAGGGATTGGATCCCCAATTCTGCCCTGACTGCTGCATTACTTGTGCGCTTGGAGCATCCTAGGATGATTTTCGCTGCTTTCATCTGCGCCGCCTCGAGTTCTTTCACTACCTTCTTATTTGCTTCCCATACTTCTCCGGCGTACTCCAGCGGCGGTACGATTACGCTCTTCAAAACCGTCAGTTTGATGCGTGTATCAAGGTGCCGGTTTGCGAGTATTGGGTGCAGCTTCCCTGCTCGTGCTTTGCCCTTTTCCGCTACCTTGGACATGTGTGCATTCCACGAGTGGGGGGGGGGGGGGGCTACTCGTGTCAACGCATGTCGTATGCATGTATGCATACAGCAGTCGTTAGACCAGGGATGGGAGGCAGATATGTAGCGGCTACGAACCGGCTTCGATGATAATACTTATACATACGACGATAGGTTCACCGGTCGCGGTAAGGAAGAGGGCTTTCTCGCTGCTGTCCACTGAAAATACAACAGAACTGCTTGCTCGACGTGGCTGCTCGAAATCATTCATTCTTAAAAATCTTAGATCGAAACAGATATCTTCTTGAGCAAACCGGTCTTGATTCGGAACTACAGCAGTGCTTGAAACCCGCGGGAATATACAGCGGCATATCGTAGAGAAGTCGCGACCAAATGTGCTTGAACAAATGAAGTAAAACAAAAAAAATTGTTCATGTTCCAGGTGGAGTCGGCCGTCTCATCTCACGTACGAATATGCACAGGCTGCTGCAGATGTGTGTGTCGGGCGTGAAATATACCAGATACGTTTACATGCAGCAAAGCTTGGAACAACATTGACATATTTCCTGCTGCTGAGGGAACCTGCAGTAAGAGACCCGCCGAGATCGAGAAAGAGCTAGAGACATCAGAATCTGCAGGAAGGTGAACAAGCCTGTGCGTATGTCTGCGATACAATTTGTTGTGCTATTCGGTGTTTAGAAGAGGAGTGGGCTAACTACTCGCCCGAGGTTGTGATGTGAGCGGGGTGAGAGGGTCGTCTGCAAACAATCAGCTGCTGGTTGATTCACTTGCTGTATGCATACATTGTACAGCAGCCTGGGAGCTGTACAGCAGCAGTAGTTGCTCTTGTGAAGCTGCCTTTCCGCCCACCCAGCGTCCAGAAGCAGACTACACTTGACGCCGGAAAACTCCAGCTAGGAAACCTGCCGCTATTTAATACTGTAAATTTATGGGGTTACCCACTCGAGTACTACTCTAATAGATTATTAGATTACAACCGGGGCGACCGATTGGGAAATGCAGCGTACACTGCTGTCAGGGTGACAAGCCCCCTCTCTTGGTGACCTTCACATTTGCAGGTACAGTAGAGGTCCCTGTTTAAGGCCGCAAATTTAAGGCCGGTGGCCCTTTGTAACGCCGGTGAAATCGTCTGTCACACTTGCCTTCCTTTTTAAGGCCGCACAGGCCTTAAACAGGCATAGTCCCTATTTAAGGCCGATTAGGGCGTCCGCGCACCCTATATAAGGCCGGTTTTGGTGTGACGCACCCAGTTTTTCGGCAGCATTATTCAAGCCGCAACACAAGCACTCCAGAGATCTACACAACAGCAATACCTAGCGTACCCCTACCGACCCAACCAGTAGGGGCACACATGCCTTGTGCGGCTGGTGACATAAGGCAATTTTTGTAGACTCGATAGGCGCATGGGGGGAGGCGTCAGTTGAGTGGTTCTCCCGGGTCCGGTGTCGTGTCCGGTTTCATCCTTGTATTTTCAACTTCGTGTGCCGTTGTTAGTGTATCAGGGGGTAGAGAGGTCGGGCTGTTCGATTTTTTTGTCGACTTTGTGTTTGACGGGTAAGCACCAGTTGGTCAGTTGGCGCAACATGTTGTGCATTTTTCATTTTTCGATGGTTGTTGTGTTGTGCAGATCGTTGAACTTTTTGCTGTGGGCGTCCTCTCATTCTGATCAGGATTGGCAGTATTGTTGTCGACCTTCACGAGGGAGCCACTCGATGAGATACTTCGCACGTACCAAGTGAAATACATATTTTTGTGGACGTCAGCTACTACGGCAGCAAGTAACATTCGGAAACATGTAACATCATTTTTTGTCACGACGTGTGCGGCTATATTAATCTGTATACGTATGTATAACGTGCATCCTGCGAGCCTTCAGACACGTTGGGGCCCGCCACCTTCCCGAAAGGCTTGAGTGCAGCATCAGTATTCCTCAATAAGGCCGGTACCGGCCTTATTGAGGAATACTCAGTCCTCTATAAGGCCGGTACCGGCCTTAAACAAGACCCGTTTCCAATAAGGCCTGGTGCCCTCTTTAAGGCCGGTCATTTCGTCTGTCACAGCGCGGCCTTAAACAGGGACCTCTACGGTACTCTAAATACGAGATATTTCCATTGCCAAGAGGGAACAACTCCCCGCGTTCGGGGTGTCTTGGGGAAAATGAAAAAAACTCCTGTAAACGAGCAGAGAGGTGGATGGCTGTGGCAATGATACCAACGAGAGCTGGTGTTTAAGAGGTACCAGAGGCGAGAGAAAGGCTTCACAATGAGCGAGGATAGGAGGCCACACAGCAGTGCACTCAAAAGACGTGGCCAAGAACCCGAAAAAGTTGTGTGGTGGGTGAGAGCAGTGACTGACGCCACTCGAGATTACAGTCTCGCTGTCAGTTGCACGGTCTGTTGTTCTTTTTGGATAGAACAAACGACGTGGACGTAATGTTTGCGTGACACGACGGAGCTGTCAGCGTGAGAGGTGGGTGTATAAAGATCCGTAGTAGACATTGCAGGCTACGATGCGTTGCCGTGTAGAGCCTTCCCCCTCTAACTCACACCGTTGTTCTCAACAAGAAGCGAAATGATGCATAGGCAGTGACGGATGGATTTTTCAAACGCAGCGAAGAAACTTTCACGGACCGGCAAACACGGACGGATGGATGTCTGCGTGTGTCGCCTACATCACCCCGCGATTCCGTGACCCAAACGCTGTCCTCCGCTCTCCGACGTACACCCACCGGCCCTGCTTACTCCAACGAACCCAACCCCCCCCTCACGCCCAATCACGGAAGGTGTAAGACTGGCGAATGGTTTCATCATAACGGTACTTTGGGGTCGAACCCTGTCATCAAATCATTCCAAATTTCCGGAAACCAACGGCCTGCGGCTCGCACGGACCGATGGATCCCCTATTTTTCAAAATATCAGAGACGTACGTGTAGAGGAAAATTTATGACCCGATATTGTTGCCTTGACCACGTGAGAGCGCACCGGGGGGCTCAGAGGCGCACCGGCGTTAGGCAGTCACGGATCCCTTTGGGCCATCAGCTGACTTGCGGTGTTGTCCAAATCATGACAAAAGAGCCGGAAACAACGCGGGACAGCAAAAAGGGATCCGAACACGGAACACATCATTGCATGAACACATAAAAGACGGGCAGACGACAACCAGGAACCCTTTCGGCAACCTCACCTGCTGCTAGATGAGCCACCAACAGAACGAATGCGAACCCGGCTGTGCGCCTCCTTGCCTCCCCACCGGCCTTCCTCTTTTGTCCCCTACAGCTCATGGTAGATAGTCTCCACACGGACCAGGTCAAACAAACACACACACGGGATCGCCGTCCGTGATATTTCGGCGCTCCAGACTCCGAAGTAACCTCTCAAAGGACAGCTGCTGTCGGTACACAAGGCCTTGACACAAGTGCTCGTTGCCGCAGCACACGCTAGGTATGCTCTTGTGTCGAAAGGTCTTGTGGTACCTTTGTGAGCGTCTCTGCTCTACGTGCACGCCAGCAACGAACAAGGGGTGGGGGATTTTCCAATTATCCCGGCTCCTTTTTTAGTTCTGCTTCCCGCACACCCTTTTTTTTTTACCCATGGGTGTGTGGAGGCGTTCTTTTGCCGGGATACGACTGCATACATCAGTAGGAGGAAAACCTGCTCGTTGCGTTTGGCCGCGTGGTGCGCTAGGAAGGGAGCCATGAGGCCGGTGGTGGCGGTCCATGAAAACGAGACGTGAACGACGTGTGCAGAGAATTAGGGAAATATGTAGAAATCAAATTGTTTTTGTCCAGGAAGAGAAGAGGATCGCTTTTCCTCGGTTTGACCAGAGCTACTGTATGCGTAGCTGCAGTCACTTGTTGTTTCCTGCGCAGCAGGCTACCGGTGCGTGTGCAACCCCGATCGCACTCTACCCCTGACCAGCATGGGAATAGCGGGCTGCGCTGATATTTTTGTACACAGCAGTATGGACCCGCAAAGAAAACTGAAACGGGTTGCTATATGTGTCAATTAATTACTACAGTAGACCGAGAGGCTCGGAATTATTTTCCGCTTTGTTCGGAGACAGACAGACGTCGAGCAAGCCACGCGGGCATCGAAGCTGGCATTGCAACCAACCCTCGTTAGCGATGGTATTGAGCAACGACAACCTTTTGTTTCCCTCGAGATGGGCCCCAAGGGGGGCGCTTTCCTCCCTCGCGTTGGTAGAAGTGGCGGCAGGAAGTCCAGTATATATCTCGCGCGCTCAGTGTTGTAGGGAAAATAGTAGACTAGACTACTGCTTGCTTCAGTACTGCTGTAAGTCTTGTACAACCTTCGTTCATTTAGTCTAGCGTCCATGAGGGAATATGTAGAAGTACATGGTTGGTTGATTACCCTGAGTCTACAGAAGCACTTAATAGGATTTTGCCAAATCCGCTCTACTTCCCCGCCCATCTTCAAATCGAGCACGGCCTGCGTTGTGGTTTGGAGGTTTGACCAAGTCCATAGACTCAACGTCGACGGTGGTGATGATGTGGCGGCGCGGCAGGGTTTGTTGAGTAGCTCGTTCTCCTACCCCGGGCAGCTGGGTGAATAATTTCTTATTTAGTCGCAATCAGGGTTTTTAAATCGAATGAGGTACGTAGTAGAAACTCCTTCTATCATCTTCACGCCTCGGTCGACTCGCTTGCTGAAGAGGGTTTTCAGGGTGCTATGTAAACTAACTGTCGTTTGATGTCCTTGCAAGGCAGATATAAATACGTTCAGCCAAGAAGCACAGCGATGACGTAGTAGGCGTCAACGGGCAAGGGAAAGAAGAGGCACAAGCAAGATGGGAAAGGGAGCAGTAAGGTAGGTTACTCCCCGTGTAATGTAAAACAAGTCCACACCCCGCCATGTGCTTATTGTTCAGACAAGGGACACCCGCGCCCAAAACTGACGAACGTCAGCGGTCGACGTTACGTTGGCGCACCTACAGCAGTAGTAGCCAACGTCGTCCATCCATCCTGCGAGCTGCGTCCCATGTCCATTTGCAGCGCCTAACACTACTTACCCAAGGCTACACCTTGTTGAAGGAATCCTCTTCTTGGGATAGGATTGGCCTGATCTCCGTCGAGGCCATGTCGATGAGGAACATGCCATAATTTAGCAAGGCCCGAAGGCATTCGACCCCCAGGCGATGTTTGCAAGACGAAGATAATCAAGATTGTCACCACAGAAGGTCATGTTTCTTCGTAGTCCCAACAGCAGCCGTCCCAACTTCTCGATCTTGTCGTCACGTACACCATCAGAGACTTACTTGTCGTTTGAGACAATACTCCTTGGCGTGATAACTCTGCTGCGCTGGGAGTTTAACGCAGCACTCTGCACGGTCGTGATATTATGTAATCTAATCCACGAATGGCTCAGGAAGCATACAGCTGCCTTCGACATTGTTTGAATGTGCTCCGTCCGAATCGAAGGCCTCCGATGAGTGCTTCCTAACCAATTTTGAGGGTACGGGCGTTGCTGTTCTCCAACACCGGGGCCGGAAGTCTTCGGTATCGAACTTCTCCGCTAGAGGGTCGCGGGGGCGTGTTTCTTTTGCCCGGACTTGCCCGTCCCGGGCGTCATAGTTTTTTCGTCGGCGGGGTCAATCTTCTTGTCGTTCAATAACTTTTATGTTGTCAAGAAACAATCTAACTGACCGGTTCTTCATGTACGATGTGCTGCAGATAGGTACACATGTCAGGTGGGCGGATTGACGACCTGGACTGACTGGTGCTGTTTATAGACTGCGGATCAGGCACGCACAATTCGCGCCACCCCATCTCGGCAGAACGCTTCGGGCATGTCACAATATGTGATTTCTTCCACAGCAACTATACGTGGTTGGATCAAAGCTGGAGTTGTCACCTTCGGTGTTTTTACGAGACACACCGGTGCAACACCGACCGATCAATCAAGCATGGCATTGTGCTAACCCTAATTTAATATGTTTTTTCTCCATCCTGCAGCTCAACCGAAGCCATCCAGAGAGCAGCGGCCGTCCTCTCGGTATTCGCAAGCTTGCAGCCGCCGAGCGTTCCGGTTATTAAGCGTAGCAGCATTGTCAAGGTTTTCTAGGTGGTGGAACCTAAACCAAAGAACCACATGTGTCCTCAGTTGTGTAGGGTGGTTGTTGCTGGTATGCCTAGATCGGGTGCCCAAGGGGAGACATGCCAGTGTCCACGTCGTTCCCCTCGTCTTGCGGAACAAGTCAGCTGCCCCCGCACCCTCCTTCTCAGCTGCACATTCCAACTTTTCTTGTGCGACGCAGGTTGTCTGACAGAACACAAGTTGAATGTCGATCAAGCACAGGTGGACGACCCGACCGGTCTTCCGATGATGAACAACTTTGTTTTTGGTATCGTCCCGGGTTCCCAGAAAGCTTTAAGTCGCCGGCTAATCCGGTGATATCCAGCGAGGGTGGTCTCCATGTCACGCACATCGCAAGACGAAAACTACCTACACGGGAGTCAACGTGTCATGCACAGTATTATTTCCCGCGTATCGACATCCTTCCAAACGGTGGAATCCCTGCAATACACATCACAACAACCATTTGCACGTGCAAGAACAGAACACGCTTTGGTTTCGGGATATCCTACATATCAAGAAGCATATCACTGAAAATCGACATTTTTTTGTAAGAAAACGTCAACCGCAACCAACCGTACATCTGGCTATTCGCGAGGGGTCTACAAGGAAACCGCTCTCACAAAAAGTGACATGCTGGGCGAGGAAACAACGGGACATGCATGCAAGTCCTACCGCATATTATTCTATACTTCCATAGAGTCGTGACGGACTTCGGCCGCAATCGATACATGGGGCTTGCAACACCACTCCCAGCTTACCCTTTCTGTCACCAATCAAATGCCTCTACCCTACCTAGCTATCTATATGGAAGCCATGGCTCTGTACCGTAGCACGGTATGGAAACACCATCTGGAAACACCATCGACACGCAGGTCTGAATCTCGATTATATAATGGCGTCGAGTGCATACTTTGTCCAGTAGAGTAGTAGGGTACGCCCGCCCATGGCATGGGGCATACGGTACACGATTCCTCCCCGCCGAACAGAATACCTTCAATAATAGAATAAAACTGCTGCAGTCCTAAGCCAGTGCATCTTCTTGAAAACGAGACCCCCGGGTATTGTCAAGGTAACAACGTAACCTTAAAATTCGTAGAGTTGGCTGAAAACAACTCAAGAAACACGAGGAAACATCACAAGACCAACAACACAAAATTTTGGGTACTAGGTACGTAGATATGGGACGAAAAACGGGTGGAACATAGTACATCGCATCCTGCGGCATTGCATCGGGATTGAATGAATGAATTTGTACAGCAGTCCTTACAATTTGCCTTCGATGATTGTTAAAAACCGCACATATATATTCGAACAGGGAGGATGGATGTGAAGCATCGTTTGAGTGACCCCAAAACACACAAAATGATATGCACGTTGCACACTACAGCACCAGGGTTTTAACCGTCCGCGATTATAGATACATCATATCTCACTCAAATGGATACCAACAAGCGAATGTACATGTACTACACAGATTCAAAATTGGTGTAAAACGCACGTCCCAGGTACATCACCCTTTGCTCCGTCCTCTCGAGACGGGTGGTCAATGGTCCTTCAACTAAGGCACGCAAAAGATTGAGCATACCACCCCCCTGGTGCTACCACCAATCCTCCCACACCCGAAAGATGCGCACTCCTGACCAAGCCGGCAGCGGGTCATTGGGCCGGCGGGCTATGGTAAGCTGCTCCAGCGAGGCCGGCCACTCGACTTGGTCCATGCGCTGCTGCTGAAAGTTGCGGCCAAAGGTGAGCCGTCGAAGGGACCCAGGCCACACGGCCATGCGGATCGGCTGGTTGAAGCAGGTACCGAAACTTATTTCTTGCACAGATGGTGGCCATAGTACGGCTTCCACGGGGTGGTCGAAGGAGTTCCCGAAGGAAATGTGTCGCAGCGACGCCGGCCATGACACGTCATGGATCGGACGGTTGAAGTTGTGCCCGAACGAAATATCCTGCAGCGAGGCCGGCCACGCTACGTCGGCGATAGGCCGGTCGAAGCAGAACCCCAAGGATAGCTGCTGGAGCGAAGGCGGCCATGTTACGTTCCGGATCGGCTTGTTAAACAGATCGCCGAAGCTCAATTGTTGCAGCGATCCCGACCACGTGGTGCCGTCAAGCGAGCGGTTGAACCAATCTCCGAACGTCAGTTGCCTCAGGGACGCCGGCCACACCACCTTGGCCACAGGCTGATTGAACCCTCTACCAAACACCAGGCGAATCAACCCCCGCGGCCACACGACTTCAGTGATGTCGTCATTAAAGTGGTCTCCGAAAACCAGGCTCTCGAGCCCGGCGACGAGCTTGTTGTCCTCGAGGAAAATGTCGCCGGTGGTCGACAAACCCCATGTCAAGCCGCGGACTTTCAGAGAGGGGATGGGTCGGAATGCGATGGTGCTGGACCTCGAGCGCGAGGATATCGCGCACCTCTCGACGACCCTAGAAACACGGTGACGACCTATCGCGGGGGCCCACATCCATCCCGGGACTCCCCACGGGATGCAGATGTGGTAGTGTCGAGAGCTTCGGCAAGCGACGCAAACTTGAAGGGATACCATCTGCAGTTCGACGGTTGAGGTCAGCCAGTAGTTGTCTTCGTTGTTGTGGTCGTTGAGGACAACTCGTAGGGCATCCAGGCAAAGATAGGTGCTTGCCAATGATGGTGACGATGCCGATGATTTTAGCGCTGGTGCCGGTGCTGCAGCGATGACCATGCACAGACGTAGTGAAACTGCTGTTACGACATTGTTCAAGACATTTGGAGGCATTTACGAAAGTATACATTTTGCTCGGCTCCACACTACTTGAGGGCAACCATGTGCGATGGGCTGGGTCTCCAGGCCGCTGTGCAGGCAGCCCTAAGCTGCTGTATGCATCAGTTCAGCAAAAAAAAACAAAAAAGGCCGTTCAAGGCAGAAATTAGCGAGCAACCATCAGGATGATCAGCGATTCGGACCAAAGGGTCGCAAGACCGGTGGGCATGGGGGGGGGGGTGTTTGAAAGCGAAACCGATTCGAATCAGTTAGTTGGTTGTTTGTGTGGCCCTAAAAGGAAGTGAAGACTCGCACGCTGCAGGCGAGCCAACCGTGCCCACAAAGACCGTGTCACGGCCGTTGTTGATACGCTTCGAGACGTGGTTCTCCGGCTGTAGTTCTGGAACGGCGGATGCGCGACAAGTACCAGATATAATCGAAAAGAAACGGAGCAGGCATCAACCGACCACCAGTCTGCATACACCACGGGGATTATATTATTATTCCTACGAAAGTTAAGCAGCAAGCGTTTGTTGTCCTCTCTCACCTTCAGTCTCCTGCTGTACCCGAGACGATACGTACTCGCCATGGCAGTGCCTTCTGCTACGTGTGGCATTATTTTCCGCCTGGCTGAACCGCCCAGTATTCATACGTCGGCCTTCGGTTTGCATGTAACTCGGAAATGTTCAACATGCAATTGCGCAGAAACTGCAGCAGTTTTCAGCTGCTACGTCAAAAGGTGCTTGGAGACGGTAAGACGACCGGCGATATCAGATCTCTCTCGATCGCGCCGACAAAAGGGATCGCTCAGCGCCACAGCAATTAGCCACGCGTGGTTACGGGCGCCCCCTACGCTGAAAAACGGCAGCTAGCTCCTGCTGGTAGGTGGCGACAGTTCATCGCGGAGAGATGGAACCGAACAAACGTAACGGATTGCATGGTCTCCGCTGGCCCCTGGGCAGTTTCGTCTGATGATGCGGCGGAATCATGCGTACGCCGAAGAGACACCAAGAGAGAAAGTTCTCGCGCAGTTCTTTGCAGTTTTGGCAGGCCAGGCCAGAAGACAGAAGACCCCAACACGGCAGCAGCAGTAACAGCAGTGCGCAACAAAGAGGGAGAGAGAGAGCAGAAGGGGGGAGGGGGGGCGAGAGCTCGAGGGCGTTCCACGGGCATATTTTCCGAGTCATTTCGACCTGAACGGTGAGTCTCCTACCCATGAGCACACTCCACACTGAATCAAGGAATAATAAAAACACACACAGAAAGACTACCCATTCGAGATATACCCACAGTCGAACGGGATGTGGTGGAGTCTTTTCAGTGAGTGGAGGGAAACCGGCTGGGTACTGGACTTATTTCGAGTCTTTTTAAGTCTATACACTGATGATTTATACCAGTGATGCCAGCTGGTGCTAAGTACAAAAACATCTGTACAGGTAACTTACAGTTTACAATACATCCCCTGTAGTTCTCTACTGGGTCAACGGCAAAATATCGGGGAGAAACCCTCCGTTGTGCCGTGTATTGTAAATTGTAACCTTTACAGGGGACACGGCGCAGTGTCTATTGACAGCTTGCTGGTTTATTAGACATATTAGGAATAACATTGTAAAATTCATGGAAGTGGAACAAAATCTACAGCAGTACATCATCAGTCCTACATCACTCGTTTTTCAAATCTACAGATTTTTGAATTTCACGGACAGCAGGTGTTTCCCGCCGTTTTTTTAAATTTACAAATCGTTTTTGATCCTTTGGGGTAACGTATCAGGGATGTTTATACAGCAGTAGATGAGAATGGTATACCTGGTGCATGGTAGGTAGGGCATACCATTCAGAATCCTCCTCCATGCAACCTTCGATGGCAGTGTTGGCTCAGGCAGGGACACCGTTTTGTGCGTATGTCAAAGGTGGACCATGCATGCCTCGCTTTCCCTTGCACCCGAGCCTAGGACTTGTTCTCCTGATGGTGCCTCTAACATGGGACTCGGGTTATTCATTCGTGAACACGAACAGCGGTGGTGGTGTGGTTTTGTTCTGTTCCTCCGCAAGCCTCTGCGTTCTCCGCTCTTTGTGTTGTTGGGCTTTTGTCAACTTTTGCACATACACAAAGAAAATTAACGCGTCCCCCCGCCGATGCCATGTGCTCGTTTCGTCGGCACACTGCCCTCGCTGATACGTAAGATCGCTCCTCATGCAGTAAGGCGGGACAGCTTCAGGTAAAAGGCTGAACAATCAGCCTGTAACTCGAAAAAACTGATCTGCGGAATGTTACTCAGAACGGTGCGCGGGCGGGGAAAGACCCCACGAAAAGTTAAGTTTTTTACAATATGTAGGGGTCGTGGTTGAGTTTGATATCCTCCCGGTGTAAAAAGCTGGTACATGAAACTCAGGGTGGACTGTCTCGCACCTGCTACGTACGTCAGTAGTAGAATGGTCCTTGAAAGTGGCGCCTTCTTGCTGCCGGCGATACCCCTCCAGAAGGTTGGCAAATCTGAGTACTTCGAAGTACAATTGGATCTCAAAGTTGAAGTTGTGAATCTCTCTCGATCAAGCATCGATTTTCTCTATTTGCGTATTTAGGGCGTTGCTCAATTCGCTCGATTTAGCTACAGCCACCACGGTTGAAATCAAATCCCGATGCTGAGGTCGATTTCTGGCTGGACCTATCCCCACACAGCTGCCAGCCAAAACAGGTAAATTTCCGTCGCTTATGCCCTTAGCCGAGCCCCCGCCCCGTTTTCCTCTGTGTCACTGATAAGCTGCTGCACCAGTTTTGTAGTTTCAGTAGCGATGCCCTTAGTATTGCTGTCGTCGATCGCGGAACAGGAAGAGCAGTCGGACCGGCGCCCGCACACGATGGAGCACAAACCCGACAAACAAGCGGACGATGCAACCGCCAACGCTACGGTTGGCAGCGCTGACACTGAGACCGACGCCGACGTCCTTCAAGCAACCGAAAGGGTCGACGCGTTGGCTCTAGGCGGCGAAGGAAAGGGTACGGCTTCGAAGGCCACGAGCGCCGGCACCGAGGCCACAAACCCCGGCCCAGGAGCGGGAAGCTCAGCAATGGCTAGCGGTGTAGCCGCAGTGAGCGGCGGTGCCGCTGGCGGGGGTCGGGGGGCTTCAACGGTGGATGAACAAGCCACTGGTGCTGAACCGTGTGGGAACACGCAGCATGACGACCGGGCGGTGCTCCATATGTTGTACGAAACGTGAGGGAGAGCATGGGGAGGGGTGTAGTCATAGCCGTGCTTGCCGTAGTCGTTGCCATTGACCTCGCACCCCCACAAAAAGCCAGGACCGAGCGATATGCCGGGTTCCCACCAGACCAGGCAAGCACATCACCAAGCGCGGAGCGCCGTGAGGTATTCGGCGAATCGCAGAATGACCAACACACCAATCCAAAACCGTGACCACCCAGGGATGTAAGGAGTTGGGCTATAGCGTGACTAATATTACGAAAATAGAACAGCGCCATATGTATGTCTGTGTGTGAGGCGTTTCTCAAGGGTTTCGGTGTCACGACCTGCGGACGCGTTCAAGAAAGGCAAGGTTAGAGGCCACTACAGCACAGGTTAAGCAGCAGCCAGGACAACGTTCGGTGTGATAGCTCAAGGTTTCGGATACATACACCATGATCTCTCAAGCGTGCTGTTTATTTTCCGTGCGACTTTATCCCGTGTGTCCCCCGTCCCCCGTCCCCTACATAACAGTTGTGGTGGGGCGTTCTGGCGGATGAAGATCGCGTGGGGCACGGCGGCGCCGATAATGACTTGGTTCGGAATTGGAACCTCTTCCTCTTCGGAAGGGCATACCTCTAAGCTGTCGCTTCCGTGGAACAAACTCGCCGGTGCGTGGGCGGAGTTGTGAATGGCGGATAAGTTTGCCGTGCGCTTTGGAGTGTACAGCCGTGTCAACGTGGGCGACGGACGTGTAGACTGCGGGACGCCGCAGGATATCCATTAATTGAGTTTAAAGTATTCGACAGCGTCGGGATACATTAGGTCCTAGTAATGTTGCTTCTCAGCAAGATGGTTCTGACACCCAACCTTGCCTCCATCCGGACCGCCTTCGCGCGATTGACAAGTTTATGAGGAAATAGAACAGGGACCAAAACCCTAACCCAACTTCCCCGGTTGTATGCTTTACCCAACATGTTTGCATAACTCAAAAAAACTGTGTGAAGGCTACTGCTCCATCCTGACCCCGGAACCTTGCCGATGAGGATCGCAGAATGCGACCTAATTTCTTGGCTGTCGGCCAACAAACAACCAGTTGTTTGGAAAACATCCGCACCCGAACCCCCTTATGAGTGAGAAATTACTGAATGTAGTGTTGAAGGAATGCACCGCAGGCGGAAACGTGGAGAATTCCTCCGGTGCGACCCGACCTGGTGCGTCAAATGTTGTCCGAAAAGGTGTAGCATGGCGCCCAGAATAGTAGGGAGGGAAAAAAGAATCCTTTGCGAAGAGGAAAAAGAAATACATCATATTATTCTGCCAGACAACAGCACCCGGCCTTTACATCCTTCCTCAACGCTCTTGAGACACTGTCGTCGTGGGCACGTTCCCTGGAAGCTTCTCGCCTCTGTTGCTTCCACCCGCTAGAACTATTGTGCGCTTGTTGCTACGGGCTGGTCTCGTCGGACAAGAAGAGCTATTTGCTTTCCGCAGGTCAATCATCGATGGCTCAATCCTAATGGGTGGGTCGTGTTGTTTGTCAGTCTCGCTTGTTTCGCGTGCCATCCGTTGACTCAGCCCCCATCCTATCGCGCCGATCTTTGTGCATCTACAAGCCGTGGAACCCCTGACTTTAAATCCGCACAGTTGTTTTCGTGTCTGAATCTCAGTTTATTGTGCACTCCGACCTGTTCCATTCCCGACACATTGATCGTTGCTGCTTCTTTGATTGATAGCATGATTTGTTGATCCCCGACGTGTACAATGACTGTCTGCCTCAGGAAGAATCCCTTCGGAGATAGGAACCCTGTCGGCCTTGGAAGAGCTGGTACTCCACGACAACATGCTCACCGGTACGCGGGGCATGAAGATGCAAGCCAACCTACAGCTGTCATGTTGTTGTTTTTGTTGTTGTTGTTGGTGGTGTTGTTGTCGCTACTACTGCTCGCATTCTGCATTTTCCTTCCTCTGTTGTTGCTGTTGCAGATTCTGCCGCCGCTGCCACCACGACGTTCTTGTTCTTGTTTGTGATGAATGCCCTTCCGTCCAACCCCATCCCGTCACATCACAACACATCCCACGGTATCGGTCGTTCCGCGTTGTTCCCCACTGACAGGAGCAATCCCCATGGAGCTCTCCAAGCTGTCGATGCTGAGGGTCCTCCTGCTCCACAACAACAGCCTGGCAGGTAAGACTGATGCTGATGCTGTTGTTGGCTTTACGCTGGAGGTCGTCATCACCTATATCGAGAACTGCGCATTCCCAACGACCTGACCTGATAGGCAAAGAAGAGCGATTTTCCAGCTTACCATATTGCGTCGCCAAGACACCCAAAACAAGAACAAAACACACCCAACCTAAATATATATATATATGGATTCAATACGGTACGGTAATTTACCGCAACTGAATGTTGTACCGTGGTGACAGAGGGGAACACTTTGCAAATGGCGGAGGATAACGCCGTAGAATGCGGAATAGTATAGCGTAGATGGTGGGCGATTTACCGCAGTCCTACCGTAGTCGGCGAGAAAGACTAACCACAGATAGATGGCATCATGCAACGCCGATGTGGAACATTTTACCGTCGATTTGCGGACGATAATGCCGTAGATGGTGAACAATTGGGCCTCAGTTCCACCGCATTTTGCGAAAGAAAACTTACCGCGGACGACACGACAACCGTCTAGACTGCGGGTGATTGTGCCGTCGATGCACGTAGAGGACGGTTCTATCGTGGGTAGTGAGTGAGTGGACTATTCTGCCGTAGATGGTGGACGGACGGTTATACGGCAGTCCCACCGCCATCGACGAAAAGACTTACCGCAGATGACATTGAACAACACCCCATTTTTCCGTTTCCTCAGACCGGAAAAAAAAGGAAACTGGGGTTACATATCGCTGTTGTAGCGTGGTGTACAAACTCGGGCTTGTGTTTTCGTGCATACGGACGCGATGAAGTTTTCTTTTGGTGTCCTTACTTTTGGTCAGATCGCCCCATCTCCCGACCACACGAGAGGCAAAAACTCCTTCGATGACAGAGAAACTTGGTCATGGAAACGTCTCAGGAATAGATAGAGAGAGGCCGTATGTAAAATGTTGCTGCGTACCACCAGATAGTTTCGGGCTCGGCAGCCCCATTCCGCAGATGGTCGCCCTACGCGAGAAGAACGATAGAACGACGGAAGGTAGCCTCGTCGAAAACGACGTCAACCCTCTCTGTAGCACGGTATTACAGCGCTTGTGCCGGTGTCGATGTTTGTCCCCCCAGAACTCAGCGCTCTCGCTGGTGATGGTATTGGCTATAGACATGGGACTATAGCAGTCCCCGGTACCGCTGCCGAATGAGGTAGACAGGTGCCATCCATAGGACGGTATTCGGGCAAGAGCACCGAGGATCTGGTTGGCGTCGTCAGCAGGACGATCGAGCTTGGAGTTGTGCCGCATCTACGTAGATCGCAATCACATTACGGTTGTATTGGCAACAAGGGGGAGGGGGAAGGGCTCTTTCGTGTGGAGAGCGGGGCCCAGATAACGAGGGGACGGGGGACGGGGTTCTAGGACAAAATCGATGGTATGAGAAGAGAGCAATGGGGCAAGTTTGGTGTGGTGTGCGATCAGGATTTAAGGTTTTTAGGCGGGGGGGGGGGCGTGCACTCATGCCCTAGTCGTTAGACCATTGACCTCGCATCCCTACACGATGCCAGGACGGAGCGATGTGCCGGTTTTTCTCAAGCCCAGGCTATCACATCACAAGGATGACCCAAGAAGCTGGTCATGAACCCGAAGCTGGTCATCATCCTCGCTTTTGCTGTGCCAAACCAGCGCGGGTTTTGGTTTTACTATTAGACTAGGATGCGATTTTTACTTGGTGCCCCGCCGATGCGGTGCTGAAAGAGAAGGCCAACGACTGTCGTTTGAAGGACAACAGCGAGGGAATGCCTTGGCATTTGATGATCCTACTGCTCGCGCTGGCTTCATGGATGATGGAGCTGTCGATAGACCTGTCACCCGTGCGTAACCCAGCAAACTCTCAAATCCGGTCGACGCCGGTTTTCAAGGCCTGCGAGCAATTCTACCCCCGACGCCTTGGGACGCGAGGAGAAAGTGTTTTCAGCATGTGGTTTGGTGTCAAATGCGACCTTTTGCGTTGTCCTACCCGCTGTTTCTTCCAGGCTGCATCCCTCCGGACATTGGCGTGCTCTCATCTTTGCGGGTGGTCCATCTTCAAAACAATCAGCTCACCGGTGCGTGTGTTAGTGCGCGTTGATGTTGTTTTCGTGTGGTTGGTTCAGTACCGTACCGCGGTCCCGATACACCGTGTCGCGGTCCCGAATAGCACGGTTTGGTTCCCGGTACATCGCAGTACCAGTTTCTTCGCACAGCAACGTAGCCTACTAAAGACTCTTGAATTTATATTCAGGAACCTTCCCTCATTCGTGCGGGTCCCGATCGCGTTGATGTTGTTTTCGTGTGGTTGGTTCAGTACCGTACCGCGGTCCCGATACACCGTGTCGCGGTCCCGAATAGCACGGTTTGGTTCCCGGTACATCGCAGTACCAGTTTCTTCGCACAGCAACGTAGCCTACTAAAGACTCTTGAATTTATATTCAGGAACCTTCCCTCATTCGTGCGGGTCCCGATGTACCGCGGTGATTTTTGCCTGTCACTACACCGCGGTACGGTACGGTATATCGCGACCACCACTGTATGGTTATTGCTGGTGGTGTTCGTTGTTAGCTGTTGTCGATGATGAAGTTGATGTTGACTAAGTTGTCCTGGACCGTTAATATGTGCTCAACAATACAGTAGAGGTCCCTGTGTAGTGCCGGTATGTGCCCAGAAAATGCATCGGCAGTATATTGTAATGGACCCGCACTGTTCAAGGTATTGAGAATGACCAGTGCGTACCCGCCGAAAACACTGGCACTATACCGGCCACGGGCACTACATATTCAACCGGCACTAAACAGGGACCCCTACTGTAGTGGTAGTTGTTTTTTCGATGCTTTGAAGTAATTTCTTCGAAGCGAACAACCCACCTCCAAGAAAGATCGGTACTACACTATTATATTATTGATATCCTGCGCTTACGAGAACTATGGCAAACACTACCACACCGCTGATGAAAATGATGTTGGATTGTCTTTGACCATGTAGGTCCATCGATTCCGGCGTGTCATTTAGCCAGTTACCCTTGATCAGAGCCGTTTCAATACCCCCCCCTCCTCTCTGTTTTTTTTTTTTGCGGTAACCATAATGGTGGTCGAGTAGATCATGTTGTGCGGGTTCGAGAACCCTCACTCCGCGCAAGGGGGATGATCGCACCACGTTGTGTTAAATTGGTCAAGCATCCTCGAGGCAGTTACACGGTGCTTATAACTGTCTACGGAAGTGAAAGCACCAGAAAATAAATTAAGTCATACGCGGCTGTCATCCGTACGCAAGGAAGTAAGCACAAGATGCCGAACAGCCTTAGCAGGATGCAGCGCACCCTTCATGCGACTGGCCGAATACCTCACGGCGCTTCGCGCTTGGTGATGTGAGAGCCTGGCCCGGTGAGAACCCGGCGTGCTCCGTCCCGGCTTTGTAGGGATGCGAGGTCAATGGTCTAACGACTACGGCATGCACGACTATGAGTACACCCCCCCCCCCCCCCCCCTCCTGCTGTCTTGCTCTCCCGTGCCAGGCGCCTTTTGGCCAGACAGCGTAGAGCTTGCGTATTGTACCTCCACTGACTCCTGCCATTTAGCCCTTCCTTTTGAAAACCCTGACAATTTAATACTTTCCACGATTGAGTAGTACGAGTGCCTCCTGTATGTGACCCCCCGGGCTTGTGCATCAAGCAACCGCATATCGAGTGGCGTCGATGCATACGTTGTTTGCAAGTTTGTTTTCAGTACCCGATACACAAGGAGCACAATTTGTTTTCTCGCCAATGACAGCAAGAACGGACTGCTTCTGTGTATCATTTTGTTCGGTAACACAGGGACGATTCCAGCGTCCATCGGCGAGCTGTCCTCCCTGGAAGAGCTGCAACTCCACCACAACAGCTTCTCGGGTGAGAACATGAAAGATTGAGAACATGAAAGAAAACCGACCCAATCGAATTGTTGTCGTTGCTGCTGCTGCTACTGGTACTACTGGTATTGCTGCCGCTGTTGCTGCCGCTGTTGTTGTTGTTGTTGTTGTTGTTGGTGGTTGTTTTGTTGCGGTTGTCGTTGTTTTCGTTGTTTTCGTTGTTGTTGCTGTGGCCGTGTTCGTAGTTCTCTAGGCAGTCAATCTCCAACGAAGTCATAGAAGACGACTCTACTGCTCTTTTTCATAAGCGAACAGCCTTCCTTTTCTACCTGTTGCTTATTTAACACTCCAAAACAGCCCAAAAGCTCTATCCCTCTCTCGCTTAAGACCGTCTTGTCTTCTTGCTGTCTCAGCAACGCTCTTCCATGTCCCACCCGCCCATAAATGTTGCTAGTGAATTCACGGAACCCTGGCTGGTGTCTTAACGAAATCGCCAATAGAAGTTCAACAATAGATTGTCAATGCAAATCTCCGGTGTGCAGATCAGCCACAAAGCAATATCATCGTATTGTAGGCACGTTGTTTGCACCTCTGCCCCGATGGTGAGAACGCCGATCCGAGGTTAAGGTTAAACTGTCGTTTTTAGCGATATTTTGTTCCCAAAACTGAAAATTAAAAAACACCCAACACTAAGTAAAACAACCATACACCGTGTGTAGTAGGTGATGTCTCTCTTGAACAAAGTTGCGAATTGTTTATTTCGACGTCGTGGGTTGGTGGTGACGAGCTTTTTTTCGAAAATATTGTACACACAGTAGTGGAGATCGCTGAAAATGACCGCCTTGTATGGGGCAGCCGCCGAATTCAATGCAGTAGTCTTCGCAGCAAAATTGATTAAGCAAACATATGGGATAAAGTATTGAATCCGTGCTTTGGGGTTAGGGTTAGGGATAGGGATAGGGATAAAGTCTGCGTGCCCCCTCCCTATTCTTTTTCATGTACAGTAGATACGCTTAAAATGGTGCATAGGGGGTCATTCAATGTGTAGAACAACTTGATTATTCTGCATATGCCAGCCAATTTCACCCGCCTTATATAGGGCGACCGGCTTATTCAGACCGGCTTATTATTCGGGGACCCCCACTGTACAATCAAAGAAGTGTTACTATTACACTATTACCCTTTGAAGAGGTTTTGGTTGACAGTGACAGTCGGTGCCAACAAGGCAGCGGTGCTTTCCCTTTCCCTTGAACACGGAAGGAAGCGAAAGACTGAACGACGCTGATCTGATCGAGCTTCTCGCAAAAAAAGAATGATCCAACAAATGAATGCCTTCGTATATCTTCAGGTTCGATCCCCGCGACCATTGGAAAGCTTTCTTCCGTCAGGGTGTTGGCTCTCTCCCACAACCAGCTCACGGGTAAGCCAGCGCCATCGCTCTCTCTTGCTGTTGTTGTTGCTGTTGTTGTTGTTGCTGTTGTTGTTGTTGTTGCTGTTGTTGCTGTTGTTGGTGTTGGTGTTACTGTTGCTGTGCTTGTTGTTCATGGTGAGGATGTTGTTGACGATGCTGGTATGTTTGCCGTCTTTTTTTGAGGTTGTGGTTTTGGGTCGTCGTTGGTGATGGATGTCACGATCGTCGTCGAGAAGAAGGACGTTTGTTGTTGGGAATGTCGTTGTTGAGAACGTCGTTGGTGGGAAGATCGTTGCTGAGAATGCACTTCTGTTGTTTCGCATATGTCCTCGCCTCGCGTTTGTATTGTGTGTTGTTACATGAAATCGTAGCTTAGTTGGGCTTGTCGAATCGCTACGTCGTTGTTGCTGAATAAGAAATTGGTACCGATCGGTCGTTTATGTCCCTGCTCGATCATCTTTCTCTACGGACGGTAACCTTTTCGAGATTGCATACATGCTTGCTTGATGTTCTGATAGGGATGTGCCGTCCATGTTGATGCCGTAGACAATTCGCGTTGAAGTTCAGCCCACACTTAATAAAGAAGTTAGCTTTTTTTATCCTTTACCAGTATGGCCTTTGCACGTTAGGGTCAATTTTTGTAATTCAATTGTGGGGAAATTCACATATCCAATGTTGGTTTCCTCAAAGGGGAAGTAGCAAGTTAACCGCCACAAGGCTTGCTCGAGACCGTAACGAAGTTCTTTACCGGGTGGTCGGTACTGCTGAATGGTGCGTGGTTATTGCATTTGTTCGTTTTGGTCTCTCAACATCAACAACGCGTACGGCCTCGAGCACTCGGAACAGAGTGCAAGTGAGGGAGTGAGTGGTTTGCTTGATGCCCTCGTTCAAACATCAACGATTGATATTGGTTGATGTTCTTTATCCGGAGACGTAAGGAGGTTATCTTATCGTTCCGACCGCCCAAGGGGAGACCGAGATGGTCGTGGCACGCACACACAGCAGTACACCTCAAGAGACGCCAGAATCCCTCGGAGATGGGCTGTTCAGTTTTCACTTGCTTGTTGCTCTAATCACGCCAATCAATGCTATCATGCGTATTATCCCATCCCCAACCTAGCCGCGCCGCGTGCATGTATTGTATGTATTGTGTATGTATCCCTTGCAGGCGCTATCCCCCCAGAGATCGGCCTCCTGGCGTCATCACTCGTGGCTCTCGCCCTTGACTGCAACAGGCTCACAGGCGAGAAGCCAGACAGGCGCACGGGTTACATTTTTTTTTTAACTGCCTTCACTTCGAACCAGCGCTCACCTTGCCGTTTACTCCAACCCGTGGTCACACAGAAGGGTTCCACAGGAAAAACAAACGCCTGGAAATGTTGATGTTGGAACATCGGAACATCTACCCCTCTCCGAGGTTTGCAAAGAAGGGGACGCGATATCGATAGGATAGATTGGCTGGGGAATACATTTTTGAGCCAACCCTTGGCAAAGTAGGAAGGAACGATTGGTCATCGGTGATCAGTCCTGCGGGAACAATGCACCGTCCTCTCGAGGACGCGTGGTCAATGATCTATTGCTTTGCGAAACGGCCATGACTCCAACAGGCGCGCTTCCCGCGGAGATGGGACGGCTGACATCTCTCCAAGACCTGAGGCTGCACAGCAACCGGCTCACGGGTGCGTGGAAATAAAATGCACCAACATCGATGGAAAAACGTTTTTGAAATAAACTCAAAAGTGAAACATTGGCAAACAACTCAAGCAATGAAAGCAGAACCATCTCTTTCTATTGCGTCAACGGATTTATGTATAGCCGCTGCCGTTGTCGATAGCGTATTGACGTTTATGCACGTTTTGAGATATGCTATGATTGCGCAGGGCTGTAAATTATGTCGGTCTCGAAGTTGCGCAGGTCAACCGTATTCTGCACCAAATGACGCGCACACACTGCTGTTAGTGAAAACAAAACAAAAACAACAACAACAACAACAACAACAACAACAACGAACATAACGTCCACGATGGACGTCGACCGGGATGTGTGTCGGTCCCCCCCATGCCTGATACCCCCCCGCGAATCATGCCGCATTTGAAGTGACGTTGGTTCAAGTATGAGCTACGAAGGAATGCCAAAATAATTCACGTGGAACAGTAAGTGTCATGCATTGGCTATCCGGTGCCTTACTTTACGTTGGACCCTTGCATGTGTTTTCGACATGCAGGTTGTTCTTTGAGTCAAGCCTTCTTGAATGAATGTCTCGGTCCAAACTATGACTCCACAAACGCGTACCTTACGTTCACGAAACATGCTACCCTCCGGCATACAGAATCTGGTAGTATGTGTTCGGCAGAATAAGAATCTCCCACATCTCCGACTTCTCCGGCGGGTTTCGTTGGTGCTACTGGTGTGATGAACTTGACGCGCGAGTTTCCGCTTGGCCTCGCCCCTTTCCATCACTCGTTGAACTCTGTCATGGAGGAACTTGAGTCACTCGTACACGTATTCTGTGCAGAAGTACTCTCCAACAAAAGCCCGTGAGCGTGATCACGAAGCGGTACATGAGCGGGCACACCAACAGAGTTTGTCTGGAGTAGGATAACCTTTCCACCTCGAACGATTTGAGGTATGGAGGACAACGAGTGTTTATTCCTCAAAAGGTTCCCCGCGAACGCACACGTGTTTGCCTTCCTTGAATGGCGAATGGTGATGCCAACTCCGTCTGCGCTGTTTGCTTCTCATGTCAGGGAATGTTCCCGCGGAGTTTGGAGGCCTTGGTGCCGTCCGCGTGATGATGCTGGGGGAGAACCAGCTCACAGGTGAAGTGCCTACATGACAACGGAGTGTGTTTTGTGTTTATTGACCGCGGCAAGGCGTCGGCGTCTGAAAGTACTGCGCAAAGACTGGGACACAAGACAACAACAACAACAACAACAACAACAACAATAACAAGAGCAGCAGCAGCAGCAGCAGCAGCAGCAGCAGCAGCAACAACAACAACAACAACGTCATGTAAATATCACCATCGCCGTCATTTTGGTACTAATTGTCGTGAAGCTTTCCGTTGACAGTTTTGGTTTTTTAAATGACGTGCTTGGTAGGGTCGGCTCATTGATGAAGTGCCGCTACTGCCCAATCGTTCATCCGTTGCAAGCGCCGCCAGTGTCCTTCCATCGTCACCGTTAACTTGTCACGAGCGATCGCTCTATCTAGAAGAATTCGAGTACTGAAATGTCCTTGTTTTGAAAGTACTGACTTGTCCTTGTTTTGATAGTACGTGTTTTGATAGTACTGAAATGTCCTTGTTTTGATAGTACGTGTTTTGATAGTACTGAAATGTCCTTGTTTTGATAGTACGTGTTTTGATAGTACTGAAATGTCCTTGTTTTGAAAGTACTGACTTGTCCGTGTTTTGATAGTACTGACTTGTCCTTGTTTTGATAGTATTGAAATGTCCTTGTTTTGATAGTACTGAAGCGTCCAGAGAACAGGTGGACATGAGGATTTCATCGCCTTAGAGGCATTGTTGAATGAGTAAGGAATTGTTCCATCATTTTTTGTGCTTCGATTCGATTCAAGCACACTCAGCCACCACCTGTTTAACGTTGGCCTGAAAACGATGGACCGTGTTGCTTGTCTTTTTCCATGCGAGCAGGACCGATTCCTGCGGAGATCGGCAGAGCGGCTGCCTTGGAAGTTTTGGATATTCAAAAGAACCAGCTCACGAGTGAGTGAGCTGTTGTTGTTGTTGTCGTTGCCGTTGTCGTTGTCGTTGTCGTTGTTGTTGTTGTCGTTGTTGTTGTTGTTGCTCTTGCTGTTGCTGTTGTTGTTGTTGTTGTTGTTGTTGTTGTTGTTGTTGTTGTTGTTGTTTTGTTGCTTGTCATCGTTGCTTGTCATCGGAGCTCACCCGCAAATTGGCGCCATGCACAGAAGCTATCTCTAACCAACCCCAGAGGGATAATTGAAGCCTCTGTCGGCCACAACCATGTACCTAGGCCTAGACTATCGAAATACATACGTGGGGTGCACAAAACAAAACAATCAATCGTGGTTCCTCCAAACCTTCGCCCTGCTGGCTGCGATAAGACGATCTGCCTACTCGATCCAGACTTACCTTATGGGTAGAGCCCTCTCGACGTAGTAGTAAATTATGTTCTCTTCGTCTAGATAAAAACCAACAAACGCTTGCGTGGATGATGTTGATGTGTTTTGTTTCTCAGGCAGCATACCTGCTGAAATCGGGGATCTTGCATCGCTCCGGGTGCTGAGCCTCAGCGAGAATCAGATCTCAGGTGAGCTGCGGAAAATACCCATATTTCTCACTCTTTTCGCGGAAAAAAACCATATTTCTCGCGTTTCGTTGAAAATAACCACGGTTCTTTGGTGAGCGGAGAGTCCGGAGGGTGGTGGCTATGAACTACCACCGGAGGCTGGCTATTTCCTTTGGTGCAGTGTGCCGAAGAGTAATGAATGCCAAGCGGGACCGAGCGAACTCAGTCAAGCTAGGGCGGTGTGGAGATTTTGGCCCCACATTTGTCGCGTTTAGGAAACTTCAATCCGCGGTGTCTTGAAGCATCCCTTCCGGGAAGATTGGGACTCAGTAGTCCCAGGTATCCAAACGCCTGTACGGTAAAACATCCGTGTTTTATATGCCAATCGGCAGAGCATTACACTGCTGTGTACCGGGAGGAAATGAGGGTGATTGAGAGGCCAGAGGGCGGCCAACTCCTGAAAATATGGTGTTGGAAGAAGGAATCGGGATCATCGCTCTTGAGGTTGTGCTGCCCATCACACGAACGCACTCTCCTTGCTATTGATTTTGGTTGCTACAGCGATTAGTATGTCGGTTTCGACGTAATATAATAATTTTGTTGAGGTTTTGCTGTCCATCCAGCACACGAACTCTCCACATTGATGGTGTTGCTGCTGCAGCGGTTAGCTGGGCTTTTCGGCAAAACAAACCGGAACGAACAAACGCATGCAAAATCGCTCGCACTCCCCACCGTCCACCAAGATGCAGCATGAAGGACTAGTAGACGCGCACCGCAGGGGATAGGATAAACCATGGAGTATTGAGAATCTGCATAAGAGAAGAGCTCATTATGCACTTGTGCTAGATGGCGAGAATCTGCTGAAGATATCGTCCACCTGTGCTCCTAGTGAGAATCTGCACAATCTCCTCATGGTTTTCTTTCATCCTTTCGGCCGGCTGTGCAGGCGCCATTCCCGCCGAGATTGGGCGGCTTAGCTCCCTCCAGATGCTCCGGCTTTCCCGCAACAAGCTTACAGGTGACAAAATTGGGTCGGCAGCCGGTTCTCGGGGATGGTGACGTTGATTAGAAGCGGGCCTGTACACCTCAACATGAATCTAACTGGTACTCGCACCTGGGTTTTACGCATCCCCTCTTGCTACTCGTCGTTCACGTGGGAGTTGGAAACTGTCTCTCTCTACAACGTGCATTTCTTACCACCCACTCACCGAGCCTTCTTGAGCTCTTGCTGTCATACTTCGAAGGATCATTTATCCCGTCGAACTCGTAATGAGCTGCTACACGTCTTTGTTTAGAAACTTCGAAGGAATATTTTTTCGTACTCCTCTCCTCTACTGTATGCATACATAACCTCCTACTTTGTCTTATCGCGAGCCATGCCGTGTGTTGTCGTCTTTTACCTTGCCGTACAGGCGAGATCCCCCGCGCTATCGCCGAGCTCCCATCCCTCACGGTCAAGCAGTTCGAAGAAAACCAGCTAGATTGATTAAGCCTGGGCTTCATGGCAAACAAACACAAACCAGCGCTCGGTCGGTCGAGTAAAATAGCATCGTCCGCGGTAGGTGGAGGAGGGGACCGACCGACCTCCCCGGATATAACATATTGTTTGCTTGGAAGGACCTACTTCGCAGAGGCAACCCTTGGTCGCTCCCTTTTCGATCCATGTACAGACGAACCAATTCGTTCGATTGTTGTTGTGAAATTATAACTTGAGCTGGCTGCCAATTTGTTGTGGCCATCACGCGTACAGATAGCACCCGCATATGAAGCATCCATCCTCCTCTAGTTTTGTCCCATGTTCAGGTTCAGAGGCCCTCTTGTGGCCTACAAACAACCGCTACATATGTGCGTTTCAGGTGTAGGCAAAGTTTAGGGATTTGTTTTCTTGTTGGTTTTGATAGCATGTTGAGCACGACGTCAATTAGACATGCGAATGTGACAGTGTGATGCAAGCTTATCAATTATACAAACAGTTATTGGGTTTGGGGTGTTGCTTGTTTTTGTTTTGGTTATTTTTTGTTTTTCAGGTTTGGGGACGCAAGATTATTAGTGCGGGCACCTTGTGTAATTAGAATATTCGAGACGACCGTACTGGCAGCGCTATGTGGCCACTCATCGACCAGCCGGGGCGACAACCGGCAGGCGGGTCGGCCACAATATGAGCTTCTGCTTCAGAAGTTCCATCGGGGTGCATTTCCACGAGAAGCTTCCGAAGATATACAAGCCTGGGACTCTCGGGGTATCTGCCACTTTTTTCTCGGTGGCCTCGAGGCCCAGCCAGATGACATATATATGCAGCACCCAAAAAATACAGCACGCCTCATCAGTGAAAACTTCAGCATAACAACCGGCATCTCTATGAGTAAAGGTCCCCGCCCCAGCGGAAATGAGTTTCATTATCTCTGTATACATGACCCCCCGCTCCGTCCTCTCGAGGACGCGTGGTCAATAGTCTAAAGGCATGCAAAGCACAACTGTACGCCCCCGCCCCACCACCCGGGGGGACTCGGAATTTCGATTTGTAGGCCTGTGGCGCATGTGATTTCAATGTTTTTGGCGCATACTTGCACACGGTCGGGTCAAAACTCGAAAAAGGCACCTGCAAAGGGTGCCTCTGGGGTTGGAACCTTTACTTTCTGTGTGACTGCAGACTGGAGTGCCTTGCCGACAACATTCATTCATTCATTCCGACATGAACAGAACCGAAACACACACAAACACACCTCTACATTACTCGCGTTCAATTTTCCCGTTGTAAGTCCATTGGTCAGGCGACTATGTAGTCCGTCGATCGATGTGATTGGAAGAAGCGCACTTTTCTCTTGTGTAAACTCTGTTACAGTAGGAGAACATGGCCTGTCTGTGTCCGCATCAATTGGACATGCTTTGCGGAGGTTTGAACGTACTGACTGAGTAGAGACTGGGACGGTTTCTTAACGCGAAGAGATCAAAAACAACGACAACACGAATTAATATCCATCAAGGGCTTGAAGCAAACAGAGAAATTACACAAAAGCTTCGGCCGTGTAGTGGGATTAGGTCCAGTCGAACTTTAACTTTCTTTGTTGTTCCAAGACGTTAATAAATTGTTGGTGCTGTTCGGAGCACATCTATCTGGGCAGCTTAGGATCTGTCTGACATGGACGCCCGCCCAAGCATGTCGGCTTGGGCAGGATTCGGTCATGATGCACTAGATCCACATCATCATGGAACGGCACGAACGTTCATGTTGTTTTTATTCTTGTCAGCACCTGTCCTGCTTTCGCTCCATCAAGCTCCTAGCTTTACGCGGCAACGGCGACAAAGTAGTTTTAACGATTGGTCGACTCTGTCACGAGCTCTCCATCATCCAAACCAACCACGAATCAAACGAGGGTGCTACACACTACTACCAGAAACCTGTAAATTGAATCCGTTCACGCAAATCATTCAAGTCTCTTTTGGTGGAAACACGCCACACCTCTAGTGCGCTTTATGAAGCACACCAACAGCAGATTTGATCACCCCACAAAGTCGAGCAAAACCATTTTTGTTGACCGCAAAACATGCCGATTTTTTTTACTCCGGAGTATGTATTATTGCCATTTAACCTGTAACCCCCCCCCACCCCTGCCCCCCCCCCCCCACAGCTACCGGCACCCTGCGCCTCTTGGTTCTGCAAGTGCTGCTAGCGCCCACGAGTAGCAGCAGCTTTGGACGTGACTCGATAACCCTCTCAGAAGGAGGTGCTGTTGGTGTATGACCTATGTACCGCACAAAAACCAGGGGGGGGGGTCAACAAGCGCACGGCTTTCCCTTCCCCTCATGCGACTGACTGCTGTCTCACGCACACCCCGTTTTTCCACCATCACCACCCGTTTTTGCACGTCGTCGTCGTCTGCTGCAGGAATTTGTCTCCGCCAGCATTGACGGAAAAAAAAAAAAACACTCGGGAGATTTCCATGGCCAATTGATTCCAACTTCGCCAGAGGGATTTGTTCCGACATCGTTTCCAGGGTCACCCATTGTCACGTCAATTCTAACAAAACTGCTGCTGCTCTTGCTCACCTGGGGGACTCCAACAACAAAGCCCAACATCCGAAGCAACAAACCCATCCGTAGGGCAGATTGCGGGAGGCACGTTGAATACACCTACTACATGGCGTCTTTTGTGTGCCAAGACGCCATCACCTCGGTCGGCAACAACATCAACATCAACGCCGTTGGTTTCTTTCCTTTGATAACTTGCGGTGAACCAATCAGCACGACAACCTTGCATGCTGTACTCAACCTCTCCGTCAAACAAGGACATGAACGATTCTTTTTTACTCTCCCAGCCTCCGTCACACGCGTTGCACTTGCCCCTTACACTTCCCCCAGGCACCGAGCTCGATTTTCCGGCCGCGCACACGCGGCGCGTGAGCTGTCAAGTATTGGATAGCGGTCAAGCACATCTCCCAAAGACAGACAGACAGACAGCAGATGCCGTCATAATCCGGTGGCGGCGACCTTCCTCCCGAACAGTCGCACGAACCAGTAAGTTTATCCTCGCGTGTCACGAGGCTAACGAGGCTAACCGCATTCATGTCATTGCAACCAAAGACCTTACCGCATCCCACTGCTGTCACCCTCCCCCCCAGCTTCCTCTAACTAGTAATCCCCAGGGAACACACCCAACCCAACCCCCCTCCCCCCCCCCCCCCCCTACTAAGTACTTTCCGAAAATACCACAACTACCGGATGTGTCCTTGTCTCGCAACTGCTGTGAATGAAAACAAGATCAGTCACCCCCATGCGGAACCGTCGATTCTTCAGAAGGCAACACCAACCTAAGAAACAAAAAAGAACTTGCTGAAATGAAATGAAAGCATCACCTGGAAGGGTGCCTTCCTTGCTTGCTGTATTTTCCACCCCTGTTTCTCGACTACCTCCGCCAAGAAGCCCAATTCTGCCAAAGCAAAAGCAATGCTCTTCCTCAACCCTTGCTCCGCTACACCCACCACCGGCCGAATGAATGATGAACGAACGAACTCACCTCGAAAAATCAAACCAACCCGCGAGGCCCTCCATCCCAAGCACGCGTCGAAGGATCCATGCCTTCTCCCGCGCTCGCCCGGCATGGAACAAACAAACACCAAAACACCGTAAAGTACACGATCTCGATGACGAGCATGCTCCAAGAGTTTGGAGAAAATTGTCATCGAAGCGCCCTCTCCTCTCCTCACCCACCCACCCGCACGAACAAACGAACTAGCCCCCCAAAAATCTAAAAACGCCGGAATGTGCTGTTCCTACGGTACCCACAGCTGCACCTTGGAGGAGGGGGGAGGGGACACAACACCACCTTCCCCGGGCCAGATTCGACACAGTCACCCTGCCTTCATCCCATCCCACCATCGATGAATGGTTCAACCGAACTTAAAAGGCGGCACGCGGCCAGAGCCCCCTTTACGCCGTGCTTTCTTCCTTCACCAACCCTTCTTTTGCATCCAACCGCCAACCAAACCCTCTTCGTGCGGCTAGCAGCTACAGGAAAGACACCCCAGCAGAGTCTACAACCGGCGTCGTCTCTCTCTGTCCTCATGCCCTCTACCCACCCAGCACGTGTCTGTCGGATCAAGCCACAACACCGAAAACGGCAAAGGACAAGGGACAAGGAGAGAGACAAGCCTTCGTGCTTTTGCTCACGAAGCGCCTGCCTATGCAAATGGTGAAATGAGCCGAGAGAACCACAAACCAAAGAGTAGGAAATTCACAGTTTCTATTCGAGTTGCCGCAGGAAACAAGACAAGGGGAGGGGGCGGGGGCGGACGCGGCCTTGTCTTGACCCAACCTTCAGCCTGCCCTATGGTGTCGTCGTGGTCGCCATCATGGAGGAAGGGCTTCTTAGAGGGAGGGGAAGGCCTCGTCGTCCTTGAGGTTCAGCGGCGCGCTCGTGCCTGCATGTTGCGTTGAGGAAGAGAAAATAAAAAATCGGTGGCGGATGGGACAACAGGGAGACAGACTTAGGATCAGCCAGTCATGGACGCAAAGGATGCCATGTCTGCCCAACCCAGCCTGGCCTTCCCCGGCCAAGGGCTGCGAAGGAAACCTGAAAGCTAGTCGAGAGGCGGCAGTCACGTCGCCACTTTGCGGCGTGTGACCAGTTCAATTACGGTGACTCCAGGTGTCGCACAAGTCACTGCCGTATGCATATCTCTCCTTGCAGGTACATACATAAAGAGTATGCAGTGGGGGGGGGGGGGGG